AAATACTTCTTCTTTCTCTTATCTTTCTTGAATTCCAATTGCACCTATGTTAGATTGTTTAATATTTTCCCATAGCTCTTAGATGATTTTCTCTGTTTCTTCCCTTATTTTTCTGTTTATATTTCAATTTTGGTAATATTTTTTGAGTTATCTATAATTCCAGTAATCCTTTGTTTTTGCCACAATGAGCCTAATAATGAGTCCATTAAAGACCTTCTTAATATGTGTTACATTATATAAAACAATTCTAGCATTTCTGTCTGAATCTTATAGCTTGCATCTTTTTGCTGGAATTCCTCAACTGCTCTTGCATGCTATCTATTTTTTCCTTTAAGGCTTTAATATGTTAATTATATTAAATTCCCTGCCTGATAGTTCCAGTATTTATATTATATCTGAGTATTATTATGATGATGATTTGTTGAGGTGACATTTTGCTCTTGTTGCCCAGGCTGGAGTGCCCTGGCATGATCTCAGCTCACCGCAACCTCTGCCTCCCAGGTTCAAGTGATTCTCCTGCCTCAGCCTGCTGAGTAACTGGGATTACAGGCATGCGCTACCATGCCCACCTAATTTTTTGTATTTTTAGTAGAGATGGGATTTCTCCATGTTGATCAGGCTAGTCTCCAACTCCCGACCTCAGGTGATCCACCCGCCTTGGCCTCCCAACTGAGTATTACTTTTTAAATGATTATGTCTTGATATGATGTTGTTTTATTCTTGCTTCTTTGTGTGTCCTGTAATGTTGGGTTGCAATTCAGATGTTTTGTATGACAGTAGGGACTAAAAAATGTGTACACCTCTTTTGCTAGGCCGTAACAGTATGTGGGGAGATTAAGAAAATCTAGGCAGTAGTTGAGCTTGGTTTGGATTTTGTTTTAGTTATGGTTACCTTAGAAACTTTTTGAAACTTCCGTTTTTATTGAGGAATAATTTATGTACAGTAAATTTACCCCTTTTAGTATATAGCCCTGTGAGTTTTGACAAAGGAGTGCTGTCATGTAACCACCACCACAAGCAAGATACAGGACAATTCCATTACCTCCTGGATTTCCCCATGCCATTTTATGGTCAGCCCTTTCTCCATCCCCAGTCCTTGGCAGCCAATGATCTTCTTTATGTTACTTACATGGAACTATACAATAGGAAGCCTTTTGAATTTGCTTCTTTGACTTAGCATAATGCATTTGGGATTTATCCATGTTATTGCATTTTTAGTAGTTTATTTTTATTGTGGAGTAGTATTCCATGATTTGAAAGTATTACTGTATTTTGTTTATCCATTTATCAGTTGAAGGGATCTTTGAATTGTTTCCAGATTTTGGCATGGTTAAATTACTGTTTGACTTGGGATGTTTCTAACTATATTTATATATGAATTTGTTCTACTGTTTTTCTCTTGCTAATTTAATGTTTTTATCTGTATTATTTCCCTTTCTGTTCTATGTTTTATCCTTCAGTTATTGTTCCTAAAGGCAGTAAATGTGCTAGGATCTTTGTAAAGGAGACAGAATGAGGTACAGTGATTTCACCACTCAGGTATCTTTGAGTGTATGAAGAAAAAGAGAGAGGAAGTTGAATTTTACTGCCAGACTCACTGAGGCACAAGAATGTATGTCCTTACACTATTTGATTGACATTGGCACCAGGATTTCCCATCGTGAACATTTTCTGATTCTTCATGCAATAATATTTCAATATTTGAGGAAGTAAGATGGCCATCTCCTAAGTTCACTCTTTTATTTCTTTCTTGGTGCTACACACATAAAAGTACTCCTGGTTTATGAAACCATGCTAGAGCTGCAAAAAGAGCCATCTTCTCAACATCCCTATTTTATAAATTTTTTTTTTTAAATGCAGGCTTAGAGAGCAGAAGAAAGTTGTTTGAGGGCTAATGGTGGTTAAGTTCTGAAAGTTAGACTCTTCATTGTTTTGGAGAGTGGCATCACAGGTTAGGTGAAGCCCTGACCCCTACACCTGGAGAATGTGAGAAGTTACACAGAGTATTCAGGAAAGAATTTGTTTCCTCTTCTCTTTAAGCAAATTAGGCCCAAGTACATATTTTCTGAAGTGATCATCTTATTTGTCTTTTGATTTACCTCAGATTAGGACCTGATCTAAGATAATATGTGAGAGACCGGGATTCCTGTTCTTAAGAACTATATTTCATTTCATGGTGGCTAGAGAGCTTATTGAACTTTGGGGAGCCATAGCCTTTATTTATTTTCTCCTTAAATGATGATGTAATTTATGTGACAGAGAATTCTCTGCTTTCAAAAAAGGCAATTGAAGAGTATATATGACATGCATCTGTGTCTGCACATGCTTTTCCCTGTGTCTGGAATACATGTCCTTATCTTTGCTTAGAGAGCTTTCATTCTTCCTTCAGGGTAAGTCACCTCATACTTTACCCAACTGGATCACAAGTGTCCCCTTAGAAGTGGTTTTATAGCATACCTTTATCTTGATAATCATCACACTAAATTTTCAGGGCTGGTTTTCTTGTTTATCTGTTTAATTAGACTGAATTTCTTTAGGGTAATGCCCTCAAGCCTAACACATGTTGAATGTGACTTTGGTGTAGCTTAAATCACTTGCTGGTCTAACCATTGGGCCTGAAGCAACTGAAACAAAGCGTATGTAATGACACTTTTGTCATAGACCTTGGATTGCCAATGGCTTCTGTTGCCTTAAAGGAAAAGCTTACAAAGTACTGTTGCTAACATTTCTTTCATCTTTTGAACTCTCCTGAACGAAGAATCTTGGGTGGGCTAGGTCAGTATATAGATTGGAGATTGGGGAAGATGATTTATGTAAAGAGTCATAAAATATGTGTTGGCCCTTTCTCCTTTTATCTCTTCCCTTATAGCTCTGGCTTTTTCTAACTCACTTGGAGAGACATTTTAAGGGCTGCCTGCGTCAGACCCATTTATGATTTACGGCTCTGCCTTCTCAGCCACCCTGGGAAGAATATTAAAATATCACCCACGGCTACATCAGCAGCTTATTACTATATTAAAGAGAAGCATATATTAAGAAATGCAAAGGCCTGCAACAGTCTCCAGGAATAGCTCTCTTAAGTAAACACGTCTAGCTTATACATTTTGACATCAGAGGCATCTTCTTGTAACAAAAGACTTACCAGTTAGTTTTCCTATGGAAACCTGAATAATTTAGTGATAGCTTTTGGAGGCCCCTATTTAAGTCTGTAGCAAATTTGGCCCTAAGAAAAATTTATCAAAATAGTTTGGTTTTCTAGACCAGTGATTATCAAATATCTTTAAGTATAATAATCTGGTCTCGGCCATTGGTGACTCTGGTTCAAGAGGCATAGGCTGGAATTTAGGAAATGACATCTTTAATAATAACCTCAAGTTTATTCTGATGCAAGTGGTCTGGGGTCCTGCTTTTGGTGAACACTTGCCCAGGACGTCTTGTTGTGTGCAGTCTTTTAGCAGAAGCTAATGATTGGCAGCTCTAGGTTAGGGTTCTGAGCAGGACACGATAGAGCATGAAGGATAAGGGTCACTGACCATTGTAGGTAGTCATGGAGTGAATTATTTGGTGGCCCTTTTGAAAAGGAACAATGGCCACCAGCACCCTGTGCTATCTCTGTCATGGCGATTTCCACTGTATTGTAGTTGCCTATTTGCTTGCACTTTTTTCCAATTAGACTGGCGAGCAGGGACCTTGTCTTTCCTCTTTATACTCACAGGACCTAGTACCATGCTCAGTGTTTGCAGAAGACTAAGTATGTAAGTGAATGAATAGAAAAATGAAAGAATGTGTTATAATTACTTACAAATGAAGACATATTTAAAGGTTTCCAGCCTAAAAGTTTGACCAAGCTTGTTAAATATAGCTAACAGAGAAAGATGGTAATGTATGTGAAATATATTTTTAAATGTTGCATTGTTCTTTCCTATTAAATATGCAGGAGTTGGAGAGGTGCAGTGACTCCCACATGAGGCTGCACCTCATAATCATCTAGGTGCCTTACTGTCTTATTAACTGAGTTTAAAAAGAAGTGAACAAATAATACATACACTTGGCATAAAGTGAAAATTGAGTGTATTATTCCTCACTTCCATTGTACCTCCCTGGAAACAACCATTTCTATCAGTTTCTTGTGTAGCTCTCCAGATATATTTGGAAGCATATGTATCCATACATTTTCTTACCTGAATGAGCCCGTGTTATAAACTCTATGTTGCATGTTGATTTTTTAACTTAACAATATATCTTAAAGATTATTCCATATTAACACATATAGATCTACCTCATTTACTACGATGGCTACATGATATTCCGTTATATGGCATCTATTACATATGTGTGTAGGTAGTAATCCATTGTTGTTACAAGCAGTGTTGCAGTGAAGATCAGTGAATGTATCTCTTTGAATACATGGACAATTATGTGTAGGATAAATTCCTAGAGGTAGTATTCCTAGGTCAAAGAGAATGTGCATTTCAAATTTTGCAAAATTGCTCCCCAAAGAGGCTGCATGGATTATATTCTACCAATAGTATGAATGAAAGTACCTATTTCCTCGCATTTTTGTTGGGAAAATTTTAAAAAAATAAAGATTCTCAGACCGTCACAATTCTATGGCTTCCAAAACTTCTAGGACCAGTCCTGGGACCTGCTTGTTTTAAAAGTATCTCAGAAAGTGAGATGTTATCAATATTTAAATTTCACACTATTTCACATTTCTGTGATTCTGACTCAGAAGGTCCGTGGACCTGCCTTTGAAAACCACCAGGTTGGTGCATAGCATTCCGTATGCACCTACACTAGACACTGGCTTCCAGGTCCTGAAGCCCTTTCCCACTAATAAACAAACAGCTAAAAAGTGGGGAAGTAGTCTGGGTTGAAAATAATGCTCTGGCACCTTTTGCTTGCAGATCTCCTTTTTCTGCCTTGCTGTGTTTTCCATTTTGGTCTTAAGTCTCTTTTCTTCTCAGATGAATCACTCAGAGGTCAACCTCTTCCCACAGGTTCACAAGAATGTACTTTAAACATGTACTCTTTGAGGACACATTCTTTGACGAATGCTATTTTGAAGATGTAACATCAACAGATACCTACTTCAAAAATTGTACCATTGAATCAACCATCTTTTATAACACAGGTAGGTAAGAAGATTAACAGACTGAATAGACTGTAACAAGAGACAACTAGTGTTGTTCAAGAATCAAAATGCTCAGGCATAAACTTCAGGAGTAGGAAAGTATTCATAGATACAAATGCCAAGCCTTGGTGGGGAAATGGATTTTAGCCCCAGGCATGGCACAAATTAGGTGCACAGCCTTTGCTAAGGCATTTAATGTATCTGTGTCTCAGTTTTATCACAAATGAAATGGAAACAAAAGTTCTAGCCAAATATCCTCATCTCAGTGAGGCTGATGCTATACAGAAGGGTCTTTGGTAGAAGAAGGATGACATAAAATAACAACTAGCATTCCAGAGGGCTGCATTTTATGCAGGGAATGCATGCATCTCTGAAGACCTTGCATAATTTGAAACTTGCAAAATGCAAGACTCATGTTCTCACAATAATAAATGAAAAGGGAAAATTACATCTGTTCACATTTGTGCATAAAGTGAAATACAAGACTATTTTAAAATCATACTATTCCAGATTTCTGTGATTTAAAAAGTCACAAAATTCTACCACTTCACCACTTGCTGTTACTTTTACTACCCTCATCATAAATTAATAACATACCAAGTGAAGTTGGGGTATAAGGAAACCAACTGAGCTTCATTAGGGGGCTTTACCTACATCGTCTCAATGGAGAAATGTACTATTTTTTTATCCTTCTTTTATAGCTAAGGAAACCAAGTTAAGGAAATCAAGACTTAAGCAACTTGCTCAAGGCCATGGTTAGCAAGTGGAGGGAATTTGGATTCATTCCTCAATGATTTGGCTCTAAAACCTGCAATCTTTCCACAGAACTACTTGCATTATGTCCAGATCTATGCTTTATTTTTGGCATCAGCAGCAAGGGATAGTTTATATAAGAACATCTTTTTCCTCTATGATATCAGCCTCAAGAGCTTCAATATCTGGTCTCTAAATATTCTGGACTCTCTTTATAATTCATTCTGGCACTTACCTTCCTGAATTTCCTTTTAGACTGATCTTGAAACAATGATGAGTTCCAGAAGTTTACTAAGTGTCATTAAAAACTGGCATATCGTTTTATGATTTCAAGTTTGAATGATGCCTCCTCATTTGAATACTCTGATCATGGAGATTCTTGCAAACTCATGTAGTCAGGAAATGTCAGAGCTGGGAGAAGCAGTGGAGATGATCAGGTGTACTCTTCCAATTTTGTAGATATTTTAGGTAGAGCCTCAGGGAGGTTAAAGAGGGTCAACAGCAGGGCCAGTTCCTCAAACGCAGGTTTCTGGGGAGCCTGTTTAGGACTTCCTCTGTCAGAACAGCTGATCTTAGAAGGTGTTAGAAGACTTGCAAACTGGTTCCAATGCCAATGGCTTTTATTTTTTAAGAACGTTCAGGTTTTGGCACAGACTACAGCAGGGGCTCTGGAGTGACTGGCTCCATCTGGAACCAACTCTCTTGTGTTCTGCTTCCCTATGCCAGGTAGCCTCCAAGGAGAGGCCTAGCTGTCATGGTCCTCAGTGTCTCAGTGTCACCTGATTAGTACAAACAGGACTGTTATCCAGCTGGAGAGTTGGTTTTTGTTTTTTTGTTTTTTTTTTAAGACAAGGTCTCCCTCTTTTACCCAGGCTGGAGTGCAGTGGCATGACCATGGCTCAATGTAGCCTTGACCTCCTGGGCTCAAGTGATCCTCCTGCCTCAGGTGCCAGAGTATCTGGGACTACAGGCACATACCACCCCACCTAGCTAATTTAACAGAAAAATTTATTTATTTGTTTATTTTTTGTAGAGATAAGATCTCACTATGTTGCCCAGGCTGGTCCTGAACTCCTGAGCTCGAGTGATCCTCCTACCTCAGCCTCCTAAAGTGCTTGTATTACAGATGTGAGCCACTACACCTGGCTGAGAGGATGCATTTTTAAGTCTCTCAGTGTTGTTTTAATTCCCCCTTGCTTTTAGGAACTTGAACAGGTCATTACATTTTTGAAAGTTTCTCTATTCATCCATACCTTGATGACATGACCACATATTACCTTGACTTTGAGGCTGTCTGACTGGCAAAGGCTACCACAGCCTGCCTACGGGAGGGGGCAGACGTCATCCCTGCGTCTGCCTTTCTCTCTCCAGCTCCCTTGCACTTACATGAACCGAAGGTTTCCTTCTCTCCCTAGACCTCTACGAGCATAAGTTCATCAACTGTCAGTTTATCAACTCCACCTTTCTGGAGCAGAAGGAGGGCTGCCACATGGACTTGGAGCAAGATAATGACTTCCTGATTTACCTCGTCAGCTTCCTGGGCAGCCTGTCTGTCTTACCAGGAAACATCATTTCTGCCCTGCTCATGGATAGAATCGGAAGGCTCAAGATGATTGGTGAGTTGTCAGCAGGGTCACTTCTGGGCTCCAACACGCTGGGGTAGTGACTTTCAAGTGTATTAAAGCAGGGAAATTTTCCCTTTTATTAAGTAATTATTGCACAATAAACCCAGCAAGTAAGATTGATTGCACATGGGGCTATAGTGCCAAGGATGCGTGCCTATAGAAAACTCCAGAGCTCCTTGGAAATAGTCAAGACTCTTTGGTCTAGGCGAGGGATTTTTGTTCATTTCCTGATAGAGAAATTCTGTGACAGTCATTTAATCTATTAGCACTTCAATAAGGGTAGTAATAATATCCACCCTGCTTCTTCATCAGATTATTGTCAGAAAAATATATACAATGGTCCTGGATGATGGTTTGATGTTTGAAGGTAAACTGTATTACTTTTATTATTTAATAGCAATACCACTTTAGGCTTTGGAGTTGGACAGAGCCATGTTGAAGACCTCACCGAAAGGCTGTTTGACCTTGAATGTGTTCCTTTACTTCTCTGGGCCTCAGTTTCCTTATTTATAAGAGAACGATTTCCACATCTAGCTGGTAGGGTTTTGTGAGAATTGAACATAAGGTGCCTGTAATACTTGGCACATTGTAGGTTCTCAAAAATGGTAGCTATATTCATGTATGCCTTGCCTCATTCCATCGGGACTTGCAGCAATTCATTACAGAAACACATGCTATGAATGGTAAACAAGAAGCAAAATGTACACATTGAGGACCAGGGAAAATGTACATTAGAATCTGAATCAAGGCCAGGGGTGGGGAAGTGGACAACATGTTATTAATAAACATGCCATTAGGGACCTGCCTTAGGGAGGTTGTTGATTAGGAAAGTTATTATGAAGATTCCTAGCAGCAACATGCAAAAGGAAACAAAATAAATCATAAAGCCATTTTGTTGGAGAAGAGGAATTGATCAGGTCTTCATGGAAAGGAATTCTTTTCCTGGCATTTGGCTCATACTGAATATCACTATTATAAATAGTAGCATGCATATTCAGCGTGGTGAGCATGAGAAGTGCCTGTGACTTCAGCTTTTTAATCTCGTGGTGAGGGTGGAGTCATCTCTTAGGTGCGGCAGACTTCATGTTCTCCTCTCTTAGAGGGAGTGCCTGGTTAGTCCTGAGGCCCTATGGAGGAAGGGACGATGGCTTACTCATTTCCGTGACCCCTGTGTCCAGCGCAGTGCCTGCAGTAGAGCTGACACTCAGCAATGCCACTGAACTGACTAGAACAGATGAAGATGGCCTCTTTCCTAGGTTAGCTCCAAACACCAAGCTTTCAGCAGAAGACACTACAGGTTGTCATCTTAAAAAAAATTTTGACTGGGAGTCAGGTGGCTCCATCTCTGCCAAGATTAGCTTTATGTGTTGACCCAAGTCAACTTCTTTGAGCTTCCATTTCCATTGTTAAAATAATACCTCTGTTTGCCTCAATGAGATAGGGGTATGAGAGCAGACATGTGACACTTCTGCCATTTGTCACCAGCCTTATGAGTCCCAGAGTTTACCAGTGGAGTTTCTGGTCTGTTCATGAAGCAGCTGAGGAAGTTTTGGGGGAGGCAGGGTTATAAGGATGGGGTGGGTACCCATGTCGACGAGAACGTCCCACCACCTAACGACCTGCCACATGCTCCCTCGTGGAAGTGGAGGGGGGGCGGTGTGGCTGGGCACAGGGGCAGGCGGAATGGTGAGACAGCAGACGTCCTTTCCCTCACCGCTGAAGCCCTTCTTATAGTAAATACATCACAGATCAAAACAATTCCTATAATGCTAAATAAAGGCATGCTCTCCAATGAGAGATCTAGAACTAATATTTAATCATTCTTTATAGCCTACTCTTTTGTGAATGTCTCTGTTTTGTTTCTGAGCTAGAGGCCAGCTTGTTAAGAGCTCAGACAGGGCCTTCTTTGTCTCTCTACCCTTCTGTCTTTAGTAAAAGGCCTGACATGCAGTGGGTCGACTGTGATATTGGCAGTGCATGGTAAAGATGAGGTGCTCAATTAATACCTATTTCACTGGGATATGAGATGTGGCGGAACCACTTTGAAATAGCCCTATCCCCAGCTCTCAGATCAACCCCGCTAGAAAATCTGCAAGCACATTTTTGTTCTGCTTCATCTGCTGGGCTCTTGGTAGTGTGCAAGTCATTTCTTGTTATCAGTGGAGTAGAAGTTTTCCTGGTTAGGCTGTTACCCACTCATTTATTCATTCAGTAACATTTATTTATACAGTACTTATTCTCTCAAGGCTGGGTGGGAGGCAATCGGAATGCAACAGTAATTGAAACAGAGAATATCCATGTGCTTATGGTGCAAATGATCTGTTGGGAGAGGCAGACTTCAACTAGAAATTTCATTTACCTCAACACTATGACATGCTTATTATTATTGAATATTATTAATGTTGAACATGTGTTCAATATTAACGCATTGAACCCTCACGATAACCTTATGAGGTAGGCACTAATTTAATCAACGTTTTAGAGATGGGGACAGTGAAACAGCTCACAGAAAGGTAAAGCAACTCACTCATGGTCACACAGGTAGTACGTAAGCCGGCATTTGCACCCGGGCCCCCCAATTACAAGAGGAATAAGAATTATAGAAGTGGAAGTACACTGGGCCCTTGGGACTTATAGCAGGAACACCTAACAGAGTTGAAGGATCAGGGAAGGCCTCCCTGAGTATTAGCTGATTTGTCAGATGATCATGTTTTGTGGTTATCAAGTGTTTGCCAGCATTTACTGTAAGCCAAGCCCCGTGGCTGGCCCCTCTGAGGGATGTATGGATGTAGAGGGTATTGTCCACAGAGCACTCGGGGTCCTAGGCATGCCAGTTTCTGCTGTTCTAGTTCTCTCCTAGCTTTTGGAAAAAGGTTACCAGGCACCTGCTCACAGCCCTACCGCTTCCCAGAGTGGGCAGGATCCAGTTGGGCAGTTATCATTTCCTAGTTCATCAGCAAGGATTGGCACTAGTCTTGCAGCCCCAGGTCTGAGGGTGACACTCCGGGCTGAGGCCCATCCCTGGGGAGGCGTTTCTTATTGAGGCCAGGTCGGCCTCTGGCTTCTTGCCAACTGGAATACCTTCCTCCCGCAGGGTCCTGGTACCTGGTGGGGCACTCGTGCCCTGTGTCCCTATTGGTTGTTTGAGACCTGCTTCCTTCCCTTTCTGTTTACCCTATTTCCGCCTCATCGCCAGTCACTTTCCTGGGCTGCAACCTGTTTTGCCATGCTCTGCATCCACCTTGGACTTGGAGCTTGCATACCAAGTTCCTCCGGGCTGAACTTACTGGAGTTGGGCAGCATTTGACAGTCTTCTTTGGATGGGATCTCCTATTAGCTCTATAAGGGCTGTGCTGCTCATTTTCTGTTCACTCCCATCCCCACCCCAGAGATCTGAGCTGCACTTCTCCACTCTGCTGGGAGCCCTGCAACGCTAACCTCATGGACTGCATACTTAGATTCCTGGAGGGGAAAAGGGATTGATCCCAGATAGTTCTAGTAAGGAAACCTTACTCATAGGGCTTTTAGAGGTGAGGGCAGGGTTGTGGAAACAAATAAGGCAGGTGAGGCACCCAGACACTAGCAAAAATGAGAAGCAGTTACCACCTCTATGGCTATGAGGACAAGGGGGGGCAGTTGCACTCACAGAGCTCCGTGGGGGCTGGAACCATGGAACAAGAGCTACCTGGGAGGAACTGGGGTCTTGGAGGGATGCAGCCATTGCCAGAAAAGGCCTTCTACCCCAGGGGAGGAGTTGAGAAGAGGTACTCCAGCCACTTTCCCCTCCCAACTGATAAGAAAGTCCATGGGGTTAGTGAGTAGAGAGTATTGTTCACAGAGCACATGTATAGAGTACAGAGTATAGAGTAGGGCTGAAAAGGGCAAGTCAGATCTCTGGGGTGGGGATTCGGGTAAATGCAGAATAGCACCGCCTTTCTTCAGGTTTCCCTTCAGTAGCCCATCATGTACAGGTGTATTCTCACCAGGTTATAAGCTCCATGAGAATGGATTTTTTTAAATTATGTTTTTATTTTCAATGGATAAATTACAATTGTGTATTTTTATGGGGTACAATGTGATATTTTGATGCATATATACGATGTGCAATGATTAAGTCAAGCTAATTAACATATCCATCACCACACATATATATGTTTTGTGGTGAGAATATTTGAAATTTACTCTCAGCAATTTTGAAATATACAATACATTGTTAGTAACTGTAGTCACCCTGCTATGTAGTAGATCTCGAAAAGTGAGGTGATGTTTCTGTGCCTGGCTTACCCCATGGACTGTATCTAGCATCCTGCCTTCCAGGTTCATCCATGTTGTCCTAAATGGCAGAATTCCTTTCTCTTCTCTTCTCTTTTCTTTTCTTTTCCTACCTTCCTCTCTCTCCCTTCCTTCATTCCTTCCTTCCTTCCTTCTTTCCTTCCTTACTTCTTTCCCTCCCTCCTTCTTTCCTTCCCTCCTTCTTTCCTTCTTTTTCTCTTCTTTTTTTGACAGCGTCTTGCTCTGTCACCAGGTTGGAGTGCAGTGGCGCCATCTCAGCAACCTCTGCCTCCCTGCTTCAAATAATTCTGGTGCCTCAGCCTCCCAAGTAGCTGGGATTACAGGTGTGCACCACCGAGTCTGGCTACTTTTTGTATTTTTCATAGAGACAGGGTTTCACCATGTTGGTCAGGCTGGTCTCGAACTCCTGACCTCAAGTGATCCACCCACCTTGGCCTCCTGAAGTGCTGGGATTACAGGCGTAAGCCACTGCGACTGCCAGAATTCCTTTCTTTTTAATGTCTGAATAGTATCCCACTGTGTACGTAAACCACATTTTCTTTATCCACTCATCTGTTGATGGCCACTTAGGTTGACTCCATATTTTGACTATTGTGACTATTGTGAAGAGGCACAGATCTCTTTGACATCCTGGTTTCAAATCAAGACTGAGGTTTTGTTTTTGTTTTTTGACTGATACTGATGTAGCTCAAGCACCTAGAACAGTGTCTGGTACATAATAGATTCTCAACAAATGCCCCTATCTGCCCTGTCCCGTCATTCTGAGCTGGGCAGCACCTTAGTGTGGTGACTTCAGAAGCCTTCCTAAGTCTGGTGATCCGACCCACGCAGAGGGCTCTAATGCCATGGCTGGGGTGCCATGGGAGGGTTCCAGCTGTGCTGTCTCTATGTGGAGGATGAACCTAATACTTCAGGCAGCCTTGGCTTCAGGTGTACCAGTGAGGGTGGGAGATGGGATGAGAACTGTGAGTGATAGCCGTGTGCAAGACACAGGCCTCATGTTTCTTTTTGACCTTGAACTCCCTCTGCAGGTGGCTCCATGTTAATCTCTGCAGTCTGCTGCTTCTTCCTGTTTTTTGGCAACAGCGAGTCTGCGATGATTGGCTGGCAGTGCCTGTTTTGTGGGACAAGCATTGCGGCCTGGAATGCTCTGGATGTGATCACAGTGGAGCTGTATCCCACCAACCAGAGGTCAGTTCTTCCATGGGCTTTCCTCAGGGACTTGTTTGGGTTTCTTTGGTCAGAAGTCTACCTGCTCCCTGAATCTCATGCTGTGCATGGCCATCGTGGTCTTTCTGCTGTTCCATGAAACAAACATCTCTTACGTTGAGCTTCTCCTGCATGGGGGATGGCATAGACCTGAAAGTTGGCAGGCTAGGGCTTGATAAGGTTGGAAGGATGGCAAGAAGCAAAGGATGGGAGCAGACTATGTCCAGGAGAAGGAAATAAGAGTGAAAAGTTGGCAAAACCATATGTGTCATGTAATCCACAAGAGAGAACAGACCTGCCAATGGGAGATAAGGCAAAAAAGTGAAGAACTGAAATAGCACAGGGGCAGGGAGATAAATAAAGCTCAGGAGGCAGCATGAAGTCCAGGGAATCTGCAGAGAATGTGGCAGGGAGGCCCAGGGGTCACTTTTATTTTGCACAGGTCATATATGGGAAGAGGCCTGGTTTAAAGGCATAGGGTGAAAGTCATTACTTAGTAATTGTTTTTCTTTGTGGAGGGGGAATTGTGAATTTTAAGGAGAGAAGATAAGAGGCCCTGTGTTCAAAAAGGAATGTGACATGGTAAGGAAGGTGGGTAAATGAAATTCTGCAAAAACCTTAGTGATATTTGCAAAATTGGCGACAGAGCTGTTGGGATATAGATAACTAAGGAAGAGCACAACGTGTCATATTTGGAGCCCCTCTCATTTCAGTCAAAGAACTGCTAAGTTTTACACAAAATAACAGGAGGACAAATGATTATTATTTGAATATGATGTGATTTTACATCTAGGAAACCTAAGAGAATTAACTAATGAGACTACTAGAGAGAAAAAGACAATTTGGTCAGGTGGTCAGTAATAAAACTAAATTATGTATAGGTTTTAAAATATATTGAAAAAGTTAAAGATGCAATTCAAATCCATTTAATAACAGCAGACATCATAAAATAATTAGGGATCAACTTGACAAGTGAAACACTTAAATGAAGAAAACCATAAAGCTTTACTAAGAGATATTTTAAAAAGACATATAAGAGAAGATAAATATATGCCAGCTCAGTGACTTGGGAGGCAGAGGCAAAAGGATTGCTTGAAGGCAGGAGTTTGAGATCAGCCTGGGCAATATAGTGAGATCCCATCTCTACAAAATATATTAGAAAATTAGCCAGGCATAGTGGCATGTGCCTGTAGTCCTAATTACTCAGGAGGCTGATGGGGAGAGCTGCTAGAGCCCGGGGTTCAAGGTTATAGTGAACTAGGATCACAACACTGCACACCAGTCTGGGTGACAGAGACAGACCCTGTCTCAGAAATGTATATATTTATGGATTATGTATTTATATATA